AGTGAGAGGCCCGCAAAACGCAAGAAAAAAAAAAAAAAAAAAAAAAAAAAGAAGTATATTATCTCTATTTCCTAGAGGAGAAGACTGAACCTCAGAGAAGTTAAATGACTTGCCTAGTGTCACACAGCAGCAAAGAACAAATAAATCTGGAATTGGTACTCAACTGTCCCGATTTGTAATCCCCACTTGTTTAACAATGCTTACTTTGATAATCATTGGAGATCAGATCAAAGCAGCTAATGGATGAGAAGAAGCAAGTGCATGTGAAAGTGCTTTGTGCTCTCTCAGTTATTTATAAAGTTAGTAATGGCTGTGATCATTAGAGGAAGGAAACTGGGCTGTACTTAACTTGAGGACGAAAAAACTCATGAGGACAAGGCAATTCTGTGATCCAAATGTTCAGAAAGAACAAAAAAAACAGAGGTTGCTTGTCATCTCCTTTGGCATTTTTGCATCTATGTCCATTTCACTGGTTTGCATTAAACTTAATAGTTGATTCGTTGGCTGCCCCACCAGACGTAATCAAGCCCCTTGGGACCAGTGGCCACATTACTCAGCTGCTTCCGTACAACATTTTGCATGTTGTAGATGCTTGGTAACTGTAACTCAATAGCTACCTCTCTCTTACTAGATGCCTTTTCCCAAGCCCAACTAAGACTCTCCCATCCAGCGGTCCTTTCGTACCACTCTGCTGTCTAGTTACCCATCCCTGAGGGCAGGTCCCTTGGTGCACTCACCAGGCAGCCCCACCCCTCTTCCCTCCCCTCTATCCCCATCCCAGAGTTCTTACTCAAAATAATTTCAGAGGGCCTCTGTCTCTCTCCTTATTTTTCCTAGAGATCCTGGGATCCTTGTGGAGGGTTCCCTTCCAGCTGTGAGCTTCCCTGGGCCCTGGTCTCCCTGAAGGAGCCTACCCTTACAGCTGAGCCCTCGACCATCACAGTAAGGTCAGCTGTGGGGACCACCTTTGGTCCAGTCTGAATCCCAGGCCAGGGACGGGCTATGGTCTGGAAATGCTGCTTAATGCGGCAAGCTGAACTCTGGAGGCCGGCTGACTACAAATGTGGTGTTGGTCAGCACTGTGTAGCAAGAGGATAGGCTGTGGGAAGGGCCGGAGATGCTCACCTCTCAGCACCACCTCTCCGCTCTACTCTCTCCCACACTGACAGCAGCCCTTTGTCTTCCTGTTCCAGAGCACCCATCGCCAGCCTCTAGGGATGGGAAAGGCTGGGCTCCGGCCCTGACTCTTCCTGGCTGTGGGACCCTCTGCATGTAACGATCTCTCTACGCCTCAGTTTCCTCAGTTATAAAGTGAGGCTATAACTACCCAACTCCGAGGTACTAAAGCACAGGGGCTGGTTCGTGGCCAATTATTGGCAAATAGTAACAAAATGGCGCATGGCGGGTTGGGATTACTGTGTCTTATCTGGGCCCCTATAAGGCAACATTCTCCGTGCTGGGCTTGGCATTCAAGCCCTCCCTCCGCCCCCACGGTGCTTGACGAAGGTGCCTCTGATAATGTCAGGGCTGAGGGTACACGGCCTGCCTGGGAGGGTTCTCTCTGCCTCCCGGAGTCCTGGGGGGGGCCGGCAAGGATGGGGCAGTGGCCTCCCCGTGAGACTCACCAGGGCGGTGGGCAGCGTCCCCCGGCGCTGCACATACAGCTGCAGGGCCAGGAGGAAGGCCAGGGCTCCGCAGAGCAGCAGGACGAAGGCGAAGATGATGCTGAGGTTGGTCACGGTGAGATCTGTGGGCCCAGAGATGGGTGTATAGCCTGGTGCCATGGGATATGGAGGGGCGGTCCCTGAGGATCCCATGGCCCCTCTCAGGAGCCTCTCGGTGAGGGGCTGAGCGACCCCCCGCGTCCCCCCCCCCCAGGTTACCTCTAGGCCACAACTCTGGAGGCCGTGCCAGGATTCTTGGGAGTCCCTGCCTGGCCCTCCAACCTCTGCCCTGAAGGATTCCCTCACTGGACACATGGCCTCCAGCTCTCTGCACAAAACTCACATGAAGGCATACATAGCGGGTGGGGCAGGATGGTACAGCAGGTAAGAAGGGAGGCTTTGGGAGCAGCCAGACCTGGGTTCAAATGCCAGCTCTACCACTTACTAGCTGTGAGGCTGTGGACAAATTAGTTAGCCTATCTGAGCCTTAGTTTTACCGTCTACGAAATGGGCAAAATAATAGTGCCTACCTCATAGATGGTTGTGAAGCACACAGCACTTATCATGAACCAAGCCCTTTAAAATAGTCCCCCTTTATCTGTGGTTTTGCTTTTCGTGGTTTCAGTTACCTGTGTTCAACTGTGGTCCAAAAACATTAAATGGAAGATTTCCAGAAATAAACAATTCATCAGTTAAAGCGTGTGCCGTTCTGAGTAGCATGATGAAATCTCACACTGCTCCACTCTGTCTGGCCCGGGACATGAATCATCCCTCTGTCCAGCAGATCCCACCCGTGAGTCACTTAGTGGCTGCCTCAGTTATCAGATGGACTGTTGTGGTATCCAGTGCTTTTGTTCAAGTAACTCTTATTTTACTCAATAATGGCCCCAAAGTGCAAGAGTAGTGATGTTGTCAATTTGGGCATTCTCTTAAATTTTTATTTAATTTATAAACTAAACTTTGTCATAGGTATGTATGTATAGAGAAAAAACATAGTATATATACATGCTTTCAGGGCATCCACTGGGGGTCTTGGAACGTATGCCCTTCAGATAAGGGAGGGACGACTGTACTTATGTCACCTGATTCTTATAACCACCTTAGGAGGTAAATACTATTATCGTCCCTATTTTTATAGATTAGCATCCTGAGGCCCAGAGAGCTTAAGCAAGTTGCCCAAGGTCATATATTTCATAAGTGACGAAGCTGAGATTTGAACCCAGACCTGTATACAAAACTATTTCTATGTCGGTGAGTGGATATTGAAAAGCTCTTAAGGCCGCCTGGCACACAGACGGTGCCTTACTCTGCTTCAGTAAGGCAGAGTGAGGCTGAAATGACAATGAGTTTGTGCGTGTCTGCCATAAACTGAAAGGTACTGCAGAAAAGTAAGGAGTCCCTCTGGTCATTGCTGGACGCTGCCCACACTGGACTGGGCACTCCCAGCACACTGACTGTTGGCATGATTCGCTGGGCACTTGACATATGTTGTCCTGAGTAGCTAGTTACAGCCTGCTCTGGGCACACCCTGTCTTCCCAGCCAGACTGTAAGATCCTTGTGGGCAGAACCACAGCCTTCACATGCCACATTCCCTTCCCTCCCTCCCCTTTCCAGCACTGGGCTGAGAGCCTGGCACAGTATTTGCTGACTTTTGCAGCTGTGGGGAGGAGTCAGCTCAGTTCTGCTTTCCTCTGAGGGGGAGGAGGGGAAGTTTGGAGAAGCCCTTGGTGCCCCCAGCTCTAAGAAAAGAGAGCAGAGGAATGTAACATAGAGGAACCACCACAGCTGGCTGAGGGGTGCTGCAGAAGGGCTCCTGGGAGTGCAGCTGGGCTCCAGTGGAAGCACCCGCAGAACTGGGAGACCTGGCTTTGTGGCCACACCCTGGAAGTTGCTTATAGGTACTGAGCCTCAGTTTCTGCATCTCCAAAATGGGGACAATAGGAGCTCTTTCGTAGAGCTGTGGGAGGATGGAGAGCTGTGTCGCAGTTGGGGGGCACCTAGCACAGTGCCCCACATTGGCAGCCCTCAGTGGAATGCTTTTCAGACGTGCGAGGCCCTTCCTGCCTCCCTTCTGCCCAGACAGCAGCCCTGACCAACTCACACTGCGGGGTGAGCACGATGCACTCCTCCTTGGACCAGACCTCCTTGTTCACTCGGGAGCTGACAGATGGTTTCACCCTGACACAGAACTCTCCCACCCCTCTCGGGACTGGGAGGTTAAAGTTTTCATGTTTTATCTTGTCATGGGACTGAAACGAAAACAATCAGAGCAGTAAACATGATATCCTTGTTCCATGCCACATGGAAGCTGAGAGCTGAAGGGGCCTTTAGAGATGCTCTAAAGCACTGAAGGCCAACCCCCTTCAGTGTTCTTTTTCTAAGATAAAAAACCCTGCATTATCGAGGCAGCCCAAGATCTCTGTGATTACCATGATTTAGTTTGTATTAAAAACGAAAAGGAGCAGAGGAAGCCATAAACAAGGCGAAAAGACAACCCTCAGAATGGGAGAAAATATTTACAAATGAAGCAACTGACAAAGGATTAATCTCCAAAATATACAAGCAGCTCTTGCAGCTCAATAGCAAAAAACAAACAACCCAATCCAAAAATGGGCAGAAGACCTAAATAGACATTTCTCCAAAGAAGACACACAGATCGCCAACAAACACATGAAAGGATGCTCAACATCACTAATCATTAGAGAAATGCAAACCAAAACTACAATGAGGTATCACTTCACACCGGTCAGTATGACCATCATCAAAAAAATCTACAAACAATAAATGCTGGAGAGGGTGTGGAGAAAAGGGAACCCTCTTGCACTGTTGGTGGGAATGTAAGTTGACACAGCCACTATGGAGAACAATATGGAGGTTCATTAAAACACTAAAAATAGAACTACCATATGACCCAGCAATCCCACTACTGGGCATATATCCTGAGAAAACCATAATTCAAAAAGAGTCATGTACCGCAATGTTCATTGCAGCACTATTTACAATAGCCAGGACATGGAAGCAACCTAAGTGGCCATCGACAGATGCATGGATAAAGAAGATGTGGCACATATATGCAATGGAATATTACTCAGCCATAAAAAGAAACGAAATGAGTTATTTGTAGTGAGGTGGATGGACCTAGAGTCTGTCATACAGAGTGAAGTAAGTCAGAAAGAGAAAAACAAATACTATATGCTAACACATATATATGGAATCTAAAAAAAAATGGTTCTGAAGAACCTAGGGGCAGGACAGGAATAAAGACGCAGACGTAGAGAAGGGACTTGAGGACACGGGGAGGGGGAAGGGTAAGCTGGGATGAAGTAGGAGAGTGGCATTGACATATAGGCACTACCAAATGTAAAATAGATGGCTAGTGGGAAGCAGCCGCATAGCACAGGGCGATCAGCTCGTGCTTTGTGACCACCTAGAGGGAAGGGATAGGGAGGGTGGGAGGGAGACGCAAGAGGGAGGGGATATGGGGATATATGTATACGTAGAGCTGATTCACTTTGTTATACAGCAGAAACTAACACAACATTGTAAAGCAATTATACTCCAATAAAGATGTTAAAAAAAAAAAAAAGCGAAAAGCAAGTATTTTATAGATACTGAGGACCATCCCAGAAGAGGCTAGAATCAACTGTGGTTGAAAGGAAAGAGGATGGATTTTGAAGATTCCAGATCCCCCATTTATGGGAGTGTGCTTGGGCATTTTCATAGCCTCTGAGAGCTTCATTTTGCCATCTATAACATGGAATAAAATCCCCACCTGCAAGGGGGTTGGAAGCAATAGTTATAACATCTCCTGCGCTGCCTGACACCTAGCGGGCACTGTCTTCCCTGCCACCTGGCAGAAGCACAGGTTTGAGGGCTGAGGCCGTCTCGGCTCCCCCCCACACTTGCCCCACAAGCTCTCTCGACTCTGCTGGAAAAGTTCCCCAGGGGTACACAAGGCACTTCCGGCCCAGGTGACAGGGAAGCCTGGCCTTGGGGAATCCCATACCTTATATCGTCCTGGTACCTTGCGAACCTCAATCTCATACTCCCGGAAGTTGTGGAAGATGCTTTCATATGTGTCGCCTGCAGGGGCCACCTTGGGCCTGGGGAGCTGGATCACCCCAAAGATGATGCCATCGTGCACCTCTAGCTTCACGCCGGCAACTGTCAGAGTCACTGAGTCGGGAGACAAAACCCAGGCTTGCAGGCTGGGGAGGGCCTGGGCACCCCATCCATACCTGGCCTCCAGGGTCAAGCTTCACCCACCCTAAAACCTGGGCTACAGGTTTCTCAACCTGGCAGAACATAAGGATATCCTGGGGAGCATGTTAAAAACGCAGATGCCCAGACCCACTCAAGACACAGTGAATCTGAATTTTGGAAGCTGGGCCCTGGAAACGTCTATTTTTATTTTTTTTTTGCGGTACGTGGGCCTCTCACTGTTGTGGCCTCTCCCGCTGTGGAGCACAGGCTCCGAACGCGCAGGCTCAGCGGCCATGGCTCACAGGCCCAGCCGCTCCGCGGCACGTGGGATCTTCCCGGACCGGGGCTCGAGCCCGTGTCCCCTGCATCGGCAGGCGGACTCTCAACCACTGCGCCACCAGGGAAGCCCAGGAAGTGTCTATTTTGAACACACTCTTCAGTGATGTTTCTGCAGCCAGTGGAGTACTGGCCTGTGGGCAGGCATTTGGGAGACAATAACCTCCAAGAGCATCATTCTGAATTCTGCAGAGCAGCCTTGCCACACACATAGAGCACAGTCAGTCCCAATCTGCAGAAGGAAAGAATCCCATCACATTTGGGGCTTATTCTTTTCTCTTCTCTCTGCAGAGAGAAACTCCCAACTTTGCTTCAGTAGCACCTCCCTGCTTCAAAGCCTCACACCCTGACCCCGAGGAATTCATTCTTAAAGGGAAGAGGACCTGATCGAAAGTCTGCCTCCAGCTTGCTGCCCTATGCTGAGTGCTTATGGATTTGCTTCCCCTCCCAGAACCCTACAAGTACACCAACCTGGCCCTCGTGACTCAGCTGCCCCAACTCACCCCAAGACTTCTCTTCTGTAGGATAAACAACTCCAGTTCCCTTTTAAATCTTGAATAACTTGGCTATTTTCATCTAAACCTTCTCCAAAGTCCTGACTCAGGCTTGTTTGGGCAACTAAATCCCCGGCCAGGAAGCCAGGCAGATGAGGCGAGCTATGGGAACGGAAAGAAAAGTTCTAGACTAGAGCCTCTGGCCGGAAAGGACCCTGAAAGCCATGTTCTAGGTCCCAGGGAGGAAAAGCACCTTCATCCACAGAGAAGCGGGTGTTGGGAGAGGTCCAGTTTGAGTGCTGGCCTCCGTCCACTGCCCGGACTCTGGCTCGGTAACCATTGCTATGATACAGGTCCAAGGTCTGCATGGTGAGATCACAGGAGAGCACCAAGGTCTGGCTACAGTTGCGGATGGGGTTCCAGTAGATGGGCTCTACTCCATACCTGGGGAGATAGCGGGGTAGGCATTGGGTGAGGAACTTGTGCTCAAACCTAACTCCTTTAGGAGGGAAGCAAGAGGCCAGGGGGAGAGCTCTCATGACGGTATAGCCCTCAGGGTATTCCCTTTAGTCCGGGGCATCTAGTTGCAAGGGGATCTCCCTTGGTTCTGGGACTCTGTACCAATTTCTCTGTGCTCTAGAAGACTCTTAGATTGGAATACGAGTAGCTCAAACGCCAACTCATCCAGGAAGACTTGCCACTCCCTGCAACACAGCCCAATTCCTCCCTTCTCCCAACTACATCTGTAGTCCTTAGGGCTTCCTTGTTCTCCAACTGGCTTATGGATGCTTTTCCTGTTTTTCCAATAAGATGGAAAAATGTTGAGGGTAAAGGCAATACCTTGGCTTTCTCACCCAGAGCTTCCAGCACACTACTCTGCCCATATGAGACTTGATCGGTACTCGTCAACCGATGGATATGTGCCAGGGCCCTTCCTGGTGTCATTTCAGTAACAAGGCAGGAATCTTCCCATGCCAGGGTGTGTAGAAGGGGATGGACCCACCCACTCCCTCACTCACCTCCCTCCATTCTCCATCCTCCCTTTCGCTTACCGCAGGAGCTCCACTTCATAGTAGGTACTTTCAGACTGATTCGGGATGGGAGTCCAGTGGAGGACGTGGTAGAAAAATTCTGCTTCAAACCATGCAGATGAAGGTCTGGGCAGTTCTGTCCGCAAGGAGAACAGTGTCAGTACCAGAGCTAGCAGAGGCCCCCTCCACCTCCCCGCCAGGGAGGAGATGATGGTGGTGATGGCGGCAGGCATTCTAACAGCTCCCATTTACTGAGCACTTTACCTTGAGCTGAGCACTCAGCTAAGTACTTTACATATATTGCCTCATTTAATTATCACAGTAATCCTACAAGGTAGGCATTTATTACCCCAATTTTACCAGAGAAGAAATGAAGGTTCAGAGAGGTTAAGTGACTTGCCCAAGGTCAGTGGGGTAGTAAGCGGTAGAGTGGGCCCTTGAATCCAGATGTGCCTGATCCCAGAGCTAGTATAGTACCCTTAAATCACTGTCCTGTGCTGTAGGTGATCAGAAGCAGAAGTGCTGGTTGAGAAGAGCCAAGGTGGGTGTGATGCATCCCAGGCAAGAAGGCAGGGGCTGAGGGCTAAGATGCGCCCACAGTGAGCTCTCAGATGAGCTGGTCCCTGGCTCTGCCCAATCCCTGTCCCTGCTCCAGCCCCATCCCAAGGCCTGCTCTCCATGCCCACACCTGGTCCCCACCCTGGTCCCAGCCCTGGCTCTAGCCCAAGGCCCCGCTCTCTGGAGTTCTTTGGGTACACAGATAACCTGCTAGTTGGCATCTACCTGTTTCTCTTCACAGAACCCCAAGCTGAGTGCTTGTCCCACCCCCCCACCCCACCCCCACCCCCACTTCTAGGAGGGCTTTACTGCAGCCAGATGCCCAGCCTTAGGCTGAGTAGGACAGGCAGCCCTGGGTCTAGAGGACGTTTCCACAAAGAGCTGGCACCCTTGGCTCCAAGGTGATATATACTAAGTCCCGGTGCCTCTGTCCACGTCCTGTGTTCCCCTCACAGCCAGCTACACCTCTCACCATGGGAAATTAACTTCAGGAGCCTTAACTAGCACTTGCTAGCGTGACTCAGACAAATCATTTAGCCTCCCTGAACTTGTTCCCTCATTTGTAAGAATGTGATAAATACACCTACTTTAAGAGTCTTGCCGATCGAATGCAATGACGTACGTCACGGCCAATACCCACATTCAGCACCTCTCCTCTCCTTCTCCATCCCGTAATGTCTCTCCATCTGACAGCGACTCCCAGGCTTCCCTTGTTCTCCGACTTCTCATCATCTCTCTAATAATGCTTCTTCTTTTTTTCTGACTGTCATCCTCACTTAGAAAGCACATCTGTCCCGGTCCCTTGCTTTCTTTCTTTCTTATACTGTCTTTGATCCTCAGGTCTGTGTCTCGATTTCAGAACAGTATACGGAAAGTGAAAAACACAGTGGGTCATTGTGGTGTTTGGGCTGTACATCCCCCGCTCAGCTCTCTATCATGTGAATGGTGACTGCATGTTTAACTTCGTATTCTGGCGTCACGTAGGAGCAGTTTCAGTCCCTACTCTCCCTGCCTCCGCTCCTGGTCCCTCCGGCTCCCGGCCCTTTCATTTTCTCCCTTCAGGATTTAGTCTTTTCAATTGCAGAAACTTTCCAGGATTTCTGGCTGGGTTAGGAGAGCTAAGGAGTAGCAGTAGGGAGGAGGGAGGCAGGTGGCAGTGGGAGAGCACTGGGGGCTAAAGAAGGAGAAGGGATGATCCGATGGGGGTGACAGGTAATAGTGGGGGAGAAGACCTGAGATAGGGTGGCACGGCACGGGGCAGAAATAGATTAATCAGAGAGCTAAGGGAAGGTAGAGTCAGACTGAGATCAAAGTAATTCCCCAGAGGGACCAGCAGTCTCTTCATTTGAACTAGAACAACAAAAAAGCCAGGGGTAAATTTATGACTCACAGGGAGGCGGGTGGACGGTGACTTGGGGGTGGGGGGAGGTCATTTAACTTCTCTATCCATACTTCCCCCTCCCCTAGTCAATCTCAGTCTCTTACACGTCCACAACGGGTGAGCCCGAGACCCAGGCTTGCCAGAATGAGGGAGATTCGGGGAGCGGGGAGATAATGGGTGCCCCTCTCCGTAGAGGGCCAACCAGATGTGATTCTCCGTGGGACTCAGAACTTTAATGTAGGAGTGACGACCGGTAGGAGAGGGAGCGGGGCGGGCGCGGAGAGGTCAGGGCTAGACCCCGATCCTTACCGTGCGCGCGAGAGCCGAGGAGCAGGCTGAGGAGGGCCGCAAGCTGCACTATCAGGCGCGGCAGCATCCTGGTCGAGCCGCATCCTCCGGATCGGGAGCAGAAGCCAGAGCCGGGACGCTTGCCTCCAGTCGCCGCTCTGCGGGACTGAGACTGAAGCCTCCGACCGCCTGCCAGACCGCGCCCAGCTAGGCTGACGTCATAAGGGCGGGGCCTCGAGACGCCCCGCCCCCGAGCCGCGGCGTCAGGGAGCCAGAACCGCTGCGGAGCGCGGTCAGCCCAGGCAGGTGGAGAGGAAGCAGGGGCAGGGCTTGCATGCTGTCCCGGGGCGGGGGCCGGGCTCTGGGCTCCGAGCAACTCTCACCCTCCTCGCCTCCCGGGGCCCCCGGTGTAACAGGGTGAAAGCGGTATGGGTAGCCTGGAGTGTGTGTGTGTGTGTGTGTGTGTGTGTGTGTGTGTGTGTGTGTGTGTTGGGGGGGGGGGGGGGACAGGTGGAGAGGAAGCAGGGGCAGGGCTTGCATGCTGTCCCGGGGCGGGGGCCGGGCTCTGGGCTCCGAGCAACTCTCACCCTCCTCGCCTCCCGGGGCCCCCGGTGTAACAGGGTGAAAGCGGTATGGGTAGCCTGGAGTGTGTGTGTGTGTGTGTGTGTGTGTGTGTGTGTGTGTGTGTGTCTGTTGCGGTGCAGGTGGCGAGGGACAGCCTTGTCCCTGTGGGTGCGGAAGGTGGGGTGAGGGTGTCAGAGCAAGTTTTACGGAAGAGTAGGGTTGGAATACGCAGCTGCTCAGAGTTGGGAAGGAGATTGTCTCAGGTGCTCAGGGGATGTGTGAGAGGACACGTGTGGGAGCCTTGGAGCTGCCAGGTACCTTGATGTAGGGCTGAGCTAAACCAACAGTAAAATAGGCAGTCCTCTACCTGCTTAATATTTTGGAAGGGGTGCCGACGACGTCTTCCAGCCTTTTTTGGTTTCCCTCGCCTGCCTGAAATCTCACGTTTAGAGGTTTTTTGTCGTGGTCTGAACGGGGGTTGGAAAAGAATTTCCAGACACAAGGCAGAATGTAAAGAATATAGAATTTATTAGAGGGAAGGGTCGCCGCCAGAACAGCAGGTCGACTTCCTAGTAGTCTGGGAGAGTCGAGCCAGAACATGTGCTATTGATCAGTTTTTATAGCCAGAAAACAAAGGAATGGCCCGAGGTGAAAATTTCGTTTACTGATTGGTGGAGGCACGTATACCTTCCTTCTGTTGGGTGGGAGTGGGACAGGGCATATGCCTTTCCTTATTTGGGACAGGTCCCGTTGCCCAGGTGGTCTCAGAAATTTCCTAACCATTGCAACATTGGTGGGGAGGGCGATTAAGAGTCCGGTAGGGGGTGTAACGCTGACACTTTTTCAGGCAGGGTCGTCCTTTGTCCTTGAAGCACCATTGTCCTTGGAGCACCACATTTTTTTTTTCCTGCTGGGTAATAGTGCTTCGGAAGAACTGGGTAAACGTCATCAGTCGCTCATACCTCTGTCAATTGGCTCATCTGACACTTCACTCCAGGTACACGGAAGGTATCTGGCCACGGGAGACAAACTGTCCACTTCACTGTTGTTGGGTGGTGGCATGTGCTTCAGACTATGTGTGTGTATGGGGGGCGGGGGGGTGGGATGGAAGTCCCATCCTGTATCTGAAGATCTACCTTGGGACTAGAAAGACCTCATTTTAAAAAAATTTATTTATTTATTTATTTTTTGGCTGCGTTGGGTTTTCGTCGCTGCGCGCGGGCTTTCTCTAGTTGCATCGAGCGGAGGCTACTCTTCGCTGCAGTGCGCGGGCTTCTCATTGCTGTGGCTTCTCTTGTTGCGGAGCACGGGCTCTAGGCACGTGGGCTTCAGTAGCTGTGGCTCACGGGCTCTAGAGTGCAGGCTCAGTAGTTGTGACACATGGGCTTAGTTGCTCTGCGGCATGTGGGATCTTCCCGGACCAGGGCTCAAACCCGTGTCCCTTGCATTGGCAGGCGGATTCTTAACCACTGCGCCACCAGGGAAGCCCAAGACCTCATTTTTTGATGGTGGTCGGTGAAGGTCAGGCATGCACTGGCCACATGGCTAGTGAAGAGTGGTATATGCAAGGCCAGCAGGACACATGGTCAGTCAGGGCCACCCTAAGTGGACAGCTCTTGTTGCCACACTCTTACATCAGCCTGGAGGAAGAGTCCCAGGGTTTTTAATGTGTGAGGATATTTTTTGCACCCTCTGTTGCTCAACTGAGAGATTAAAAGTTAGCCAATTGCTCAGAAGTACCCAGGCATGACCCAGGGGTGTGGCTGCTGTCTGAAATGATTTCTTAGTTCCCGTTGACCTTTACAAGGAGTACGCTGCGCTGTGTCTTTCTGAACTTGTCTTTACTTTTAGTTTTGTGTTGAGTTGTAAGAGTTTACAAGTCTATACCCCCTCACCATTTTGCAGAAGGATCAGGATTTCTTAATTCATTCATATGACATACATTTAATGCATATCATTATGAACCTGGGGATATTATGTGCCTGCACATTGTTGAGGCTGAGGAAAAAATGGTGATGAAAACAAGGTCCCTTTCCACAAGAAACGAACACTCAGCTAGAGACAGAAAGTGAACAGAGATTTTTAATATGCTGTGGTAAGTGCTTTGGGAAGGAATATACAGGCTCACATGGGGACACAGGAGACAGACACTCTACCACAACTGGGGTCAAGGATAAGGAAGGTTTCCTGGAGGAGGTGACATCTAAGCTGAGACCTGAGGAATCAGTAGGAGGTAGCTGGGTGAAGAGGGGACAAGGCGGGTGTTCCAGACAGAGGGAAGTATATGCTAGATATGAGGGAATATGGCATTTTTTTTTAAGAATCCTGTAAAGTGAGTAAATTAACATTCCTATTTTAAGAAGAGGAAACCGCTGTGACTGACATAGGTTAATGTTTTGCTCAGGGCAGAGTCAGCATTTGAATGTAGACTCTTCCAGTGTATCCTGGTGCCTCAAAGAAAGCACCTAGAACAGGAGTTATGTCAGACATATGATTACTGTATCTTTTTCTTTTAAGAAATTCAGTGTTTATTTTGGTTTGTATTCAGTTATTCAATCTCAGTGTCGTGAAAAGTCCACCTAAGTAAGGTTCAGTGATTTCTGGTATTCATACCAGTATTGGGACAGATAATAGAAAGTAATTATAATAGTATCTTTTGCTTATTGAGCTCTTACTGCGTATCAGTCATTCTGCTAAATACTTAATATGTTATATTAGAGACTGGCTAGATGGTTAGCAATTCCATTTCCTCTTCCTGGGCACACATGACAACTACATTTCCTAGCTTGCTTTGCAATTAGGTGGAATATGTGACTGGGTTTTAACCAATGTAAAGTTGAATTGATGGGTGCCACTTCCTGGCCTGGCCTCTAACTCTGTCTTTGCTATTCTGTCAGCCAGTGGAGGGGGCCTAGTGGGGACTCCAGGGGGCCTCCAAGGGGATGGAAGGAGCTTGGGTCCCTGAATCACCTCTTGGAGGGGAGCTATGCAGGAAAGACACCCAATCTACATCAGCCTGTGACTTGAGTGTGGAGCACACTCTTCTTGTATGTAGCCACCGAGATTTTGGAATTTTTGTTATAGCGGCTAATGTTAACTACCCTGATTAATGGGCAAACATTGTCTCATTTAATCCTTATTACTACCCCCGCTAGATTGACATAATTATTAATGCTTTACAGACGGGGAAGTGAAGTCAGGGACAACATCCCTTGTTTGCATCACTCAGCCACTTAGTGGCAGAGCTAAGATTACAGTCCAGGTCTGTTTGACTCCAGAGCTCATGCTTTTGCCACCATATAAAAAATGCCCTTCCCAATCTTGGAAGAGTTCTTGGAAAAGACAAGTGTCTACTGCGTTGAGAGAGAGAAAGAGAGGAGGGTGAGGGTGGGGGAGGAGGAACAGCTCAGGGCTGAGTACGGTGGGAAGAGGGAAGGTGAGGAGCCCTAGAGAACATGTGGGCAGAGCCTTGCCCCCATGGCCACACTGGGAAAATTTTAGGACAAGTTTTGGGCTTTGGATGGTTCCGTCGTCCCATTTTCGCTCTAATTCACCTTGGTCTTCAGTTAATGCTTCTGAATGGGCACCACTGTGGGGTAGGGTGGGCATCTGAGCGGCAGGAAGTCCAGCTCGAGTGTGGTAACAAACACGGCTTGCAGTTTCTGTCCCTGGACTAGTGATGAGGGAAGTTCCAGGCCTTGTGATCACTGTGTCAGAGCTAAACATAACAGGGAGAGAGACCTCAATGGAACCAACCCCGAGAAGAAATCAGAGAAAAGGAAGCTGCCTGGGGATACTTGGTAGTCACTGGGTCAAGGAGAATGACGGATGTGAGGGGAAGAGGCCATCAAGGGCCAGCCCAGCCCCCTATTGGTTACACAACCTAATTAACATTCACATCCATTCTCCGTCTGCCTGCCTCTCTCCTGGATGAGAATAAAAGAGCTCACCAGGGACAGAAACCCCTTCTGAATGTCCCTCTCTCTTCTGTTCAGATGGTGGCTCAGACTTGAATGGAGAGTTGCTTGAATTTTAGTTGGGTGGGTGATAGGCCTCCCTAAAGGGTTTTGGGCAGGAGAGAGACACGGCAGATTTGCATTTTAAATAGAAGAGGAAACCCAGAGTACAGAGGTAACTAGCTAAGGTGACTCAGCTAGCTAGTGGCAGAATCAAAACCCTGATCTGATTGAAGTTCAACTCTTTGCCTGACAGGCCCCAACAAATAAGCTTGGGGAGCTATGAAGACCAAGTGAATCACGTGTCATGTTTTGTGCCCCCTAGCAAAGAGAAAAGAGGAAGAAATACTGGTCTCCCAGGTGAGGGACCTCCCCTGCTAATTCTCTTGAGTCAGCAGAGCTGGGGCCAAGGGCCATCTCAAGCCTGCAGTCTACTCGGGATATCATTCTTGGCCAGTGGTCAAGATCCACAAGGCTGCTGGGAGCAACCTGTGGGCCTCAGAAACAGGAGACCTATTTCTCGCCCTAGCTTGGCCACTGCCAGGTGTGTGCCCTTGCACCAGTCCCT